GTCCCCAAGGAGGCCCTCCCCTGAGGGTGGAAGAGGACTCACCCATTGACCCCAGAGCCCCCCTGCCAGTGCTACCTCACCAGCAAACATCCAAGTTGATGCCCCATCCTTCCCTCAATGCCCATCGCCATTAAGAGATTTCAAATGTTTGCCCCATTTCAAAAGCAGCCAATCGCCAACTGCCCATCAGGCCTTGCTGCCATATGATCAGGCACAGGGGACAGAGGGAGGCAGGAAAGAGGTCACAGATATGCCCATGACAATCACATGACCTGAGCTGACCACAGCAGCACAGCAGCACAGCAATGCTGAAGCAGATACAAATTTCCCAAATTTCAATCCCATGGGAGAAATGGGTCCTGGATTTTAGACACATTCTGTAAGTTAGCCCATTTGAGACACCTTGGTTCAAAAATTGTTGCCCTATGACACACTACTTCACCCAGTTAAATGTTACAGACACGAGAATTTTTGTAGTATATACATGTAAGGAACAGATTTGGTACCCTGAGGAGCTTTTGGTTGAGATGGGAGATGAAGGTATAAATCAAAGCAGGAACAAAGATCCCTAAAATCTTGTTCAGGAAAAGGTCCAAATGGCCTTCAGAACCATGGTAGCCAGGGATAGCTAAAATCTTGGGCAATAAGAAGGACATAGGACAACTGAAAGCATACCTCCAGGTTCAAGGAAGAAAGAAAAAATAAACTTTCAATCAAAGTTCTCAACAAATGGAGGGAATAAAATAGAAGGAATAAATAAAAGGAAAATGATGGATTTAGGTTTATGAATTTAAATTAAGAGTTGGAAGCAAACAAGAAAAGTTTCTACATGGGGAGTGGAAGAGGGTTATACATCTACTGTGAGTAATATGCAGACATCCAGCACCCTATTTTTGGCCCTCAAAACACTCCAGGATCATGATCCTGAAATTCAGAAGCAAAATGATCCATTTTCACCAGCATCTTCTTCTCCATTTGAGATTTGGGGAAGTTTAAAGAGAATGATAATGCAAGGCCTCCATGTGTTAAAACATTTCAAGTCCCATTTCTTCCAAAACTGATGGTTTGCTGACAAGTCAAAAGGTTGAGTGATGGCTCCTGACTCACAAGAA